GAAGACAGAAATGTCGTGGCACTTTAAAGACTAATTGCTATATTTTAATGTGAGCTTTTGTGAATCACATCTGCTTCCTCATAGTTTTTCTTGTCAACTGTGATTCAATTATAGGAGAACAATCTGGCCATCTTTTTATTGTTAAATTAATTGCCAATTAATTGCATGTAATTGAAGCTTTTTTTTCAATTTTCAAAGATTAACGGGGTATTAAACTAGGGGGTCAATGACATTGCTCAGTTGAGTACGCTGAATTTTGCTCCTGGATGTTGCAAACTGTGGCTTTCATTAAACATCACTCTGGAATAATTTGTCATTAAATGGGGTAATTTTTAGCCAATTGCTGCAGCTGTTGTGGTTTTATTTGCTCCATTCATTCCTGTGATAAGGATTTGAGGAGACAGTCTCTTTGTTTGCTCTGCCTTGTTGATAAGTTTTCATTAGAGAAAGGTATAATTATGGTCTTTAAAAGGTCTTTGAAAGCCTTGTTCTTACCTGCTAGTAAATTTAATTGCCTTCATATAATACATGGTTACACATAGACCTAACAGTCTTGAAAGTGATTTGAAAGGTGAAGAAATTAGGGAGGGTACCGGCCTGATGATGCTCATAAGTATTTTTATTATTATTATTATTTTGGTGAATGGATACACAGTAATGGAGATAAGAGGACTGATAGATCAGAAAAGCTTACCTCATGGTAAGCTAGGTCCAGGCCATATTGTATAAAATGTATAAAACATATTGTAATTTATACTGAAGTTTGCTTTCACTCTCACTAGCTACTACTCCCCTCTCTCACAAACAATTATTTTAGTTGTGAGAAGAGAACAGAAGAGTATTTGTGGGGGGACAGGTTGTGGAGCAGTGGTAAATTTGGAAATACGGGTGGTTCATCATGACAGTCCCCATATCCCGCTGTGCTGCCTAATGAGAGTCCCAAAAGGTAGCCAGCTGGATCTGTCCCTTTCAATAAATGAGGAGCAGTGGTTTTTTGTTTTTTGTTTTTAGTAAATTTTGTGGTGTTTAAATGCCCACTCAAGACCAGTTCCTCCTCAAATACACTGCAATACAATACACTGTTCTATGGAAAATCCATTTACCTCCAAGCCACTGTAAGGACAGCAGCTAAGCTCAGGAGAAACTGAGAAATGTGAGGAGCAAGGTGGAGGGTGATGTCACAGTCTCTGCTACTCATAAAAATACTGGAGCTCAATACACCACTAGTGTGGAGAACCAGAGTACCCCCTGCCTTTTGGCTGAGGCTGCATCTCATTTATACTGTGCCCCCATTTATTTTAAATGTGCTGCTACCATTCTTCAAATCATCCTAGAACTGAAACAAGGGAAGCCCCAGGATCCATAGATCAATTCTCTGGAAGAGGCCACTTTTAGAAAAGCCCTTCAGGATGCCATATGTTGTCCCCTACCCCCTCTTTAACAGAGCATGCAGCATGAGTAACAATCTGGCAGGACATGAACTTGGTGTTTATTTACAGTGGTGCCTTGCATTACGATGTTAATTCGTTCCAGCGAAATCGCTGTAGAATGAAAACGTCGTAATGCGAAAATAAAAAGCCTATTGGAAAGCATTAAAACCCGTTTAGTGTGTTCCAATGGGCTGGAAACTCACAGTCCAGCGATCCTCCATAGGGCAGCCATTTTCAGTGCCTGTGCAGTGAGGAATCCATCCCAGAAAACAGCGGGGAGCCATTTTATTTACTCAGCAGCCATTTTGATACCGCCAATCAGCTGGAGGAAAATCGTCATTTTGCGAAGAATCGGTTCCTGAAGCAGGGAACTGATCATCGCAAAGTGAAAAAAACCCATTCAGACCATCATTTTGCAATCGCAATTGTGATCGCAAAAGATCGTCATAATGCATTTTTGTCGTAATGCGGGGCAATCGTAAAGCGAGGCACCACTGTATATGCAATAAAACTTCAGATTCTAAGCCGGAACTTTGGTTGAGACTTTCCTAATTAGGAATCTCCCTTATTGAGTTTAAAGATAAGGGACAGGGCAAAGCTAAGTAGGCAGTACGACAAAATCAAATGTTTCATGCACTGAATAGCCTAATACGTATATGTATTAGTATAGGTATCTATAGTTTTCTATGGCTCATTCTTATGTTCCAAGATGGCAAAGCTATGTCCAAAAGTGTAAAAGAAACATAAGGACTTGCCATCTTTATTCATTTACGTCAAGAGAGGGGTGGGAGGGATAAAAACCAAGCAATCAAATTCAATTAAAAGCCTTTGGGGGGGGGGCAGGCTTTTAACCATTATGACTGAGTTTGTGAATTCCATTTTTTTAGATAAGATAACTTTTAACACTTTACCTTTTTCAATTATTCACTGTATTTTAATCGGTTTTAAAGTTTGTTTTTAATGCACATCTCACAGTGTTTTTAATTTTATTATTTTTTAATACTGTGAGCTGCCTTGAGTCTCTTTATTGGGAGAAAGACGGCATATAAATAAGACAAACATACAAATAAACAATAAGAGAGTCCTATTCAAATGCTGATTACCTAGTAGGAGGTGGTAAGGGAAATATCTCCCACAAGCACAGAGAGAGAGAGAGACATCCATAATTACTTTCTATTTGTAGAGAGTGATGTGTCTGGAAGGGTGATGTTCTTGCTCCTATGTAGGCACTCCCAAAGGCAAGAACCCTGAAGAAATCAGGGTAATTGCTCACATGGAAAGCTTAGACATTAGCAGAACCTCTGTTCTGCAGACATGCCACTCTCCATGAGGAGGAAGTGACAGGGGGAGGAGGCTTGGTGGTCTCCTCTCAACCCATTGGGCAGAACCTAGGACTTAGATCTTACTGATGGACTTCCATAGTACCTCTGACAGCATGGCAAGTCAAATGTTAGGACTTAGATCTTATTGATGGACTTCCATAGTACAGTACCTCTGACAGCATGGCAAGTCAAATGTACCTGGGAGGATAATACTATACTTATACTGTTCCAGCGAAACAAGGTAGAAGTAAGAGGTGAGAATGAGATGCAGGAGGTGAGAACAGATGAGATCATTCCACTCTGTCACTGGTAGGCAGAATTTCTTAAGGAGAATTGTTGATCTGGTTATCTGTGAGATGCTTGAGACTTAATGACAGGAAGGGTGCCCTGCAATTGAGCTTCTTGAAAAGAAGTTTTGGTTGTTGTTTAAAAAAAGAGAAAGTTTTGCCCCCCTCAAGCCACTTCACAAGTAAAAGGCATTCTTCATTGGAAGTGATGCTTTTATAGATTTGCATTATTTCCTGATGAAGAATGTGGTGTTTGTTGTTCCTTATGCCTCTGGACCTGAATTGGAAAGCAGAGCAAACTACTAATCCATTGCTTCTGATTTAAAAATGGTGTTCTGAGCCATTCTTGCAATTGCCAAGTGAGAAGAGGTTGGTAAAGCCTGTGTTTAGGAAGTTATGTGATGCCAGTGCCCCCCCCCCATTCAGCAACTGTGTACTCCGTGGCAGACACACCCTGGTATGTAGAGACACACCCCCCCCTTGTGTTGCTGCATAGTACCTGCTTGTGGTTTTGTCCAGTAGTCTAGCTTTCAACCACTCCTGTTATTACCACCCTCCCTTAAAGATACTCTCTGACAGTTGCGTTAATTTCCACTTCAGTAGCCCGCTCTGCTCTATGTTCTAAAGCAGAGCGTATTAGTAACCCAGTGATAAACCTTTCCTTTTAAAAGGCACAAATAAGGTTTACAGAATGTTTATTCTCATAAGTGTTCTGTTTACTGGAGAACAGCTACAATTCAACGACAGGCTACAATCTTAAATTTGTCAGTAAAAACCATTGAACTCAGAAGGACGTGATTCCTGAATAGATACTTAACAATATTGCACTCTATTGTAACTATCTGGATAAACTGATATCTATTCTATACTTTTCAGTGAGGTTAAACTGTTCACTGGTGCTTTATGTTTAGACAATCAAGAATGAACTAGCTTAGTAATAGGCTGGATCTGACTGTACAACTTAACAGCGCAGTGCATAGGTTATTATGTTTACCATTTCCAACTTAGGCTTTCAGGGAGAAAAGATCAAAATGCTAAATTGTAATATGCCTGAGTGATATTTAAGTCTACATGTGAATGCATGTGAATGTAGTTTGTACTCAATCACCTCTTCAGTACTGTACCCTTTGGAGGTTCAATATTAAAAAAGATTTTTCCCCTCACACAATTTGCTAAGCAATCATCTCAGATACTTTCCCTCCAGGAAGTACCCACTCTAGAAATACAGACATACTAAGACCATCCTGGTGTTCTAAGAGAAATCTCCTGCTGCTTCACACAAAGCCATAAGAATAAAACCACTCACAGTATTCAGAAAACTCATAACATGAACATCTCAATGACTGGTTCTTTAATGTCTTAAAGAAATAGATCACGTGACAAAGCTTTTATTTTTAAAAAAAATAGACTATAGAAATAAACACTTTTCTATAGTCTTTTTGTCTATGTCATGGATTTAAAAAATAGGCTATAGAAATAAACACTTTCTATAGTCTTTTTGTCTATGTCATGGAGCCACAAAGTTTAGGAGCCATTCACACAACACAAAATTCCCCACGTAACTGCCATGTATATGCATAATGTCCATATGTAGTAAATAACACTTAATGAAGGAATGTGCATGCTTGTTTGAAACCATAAAACCTCAGGCATGGTTCATTGCTTAGGCTATAGAAATAAACACTTTCTATAGTCTTTTTGTCTATGTCATGGAGCCACAAAGTTTAGGAGCCATTCACACAACACAAAATTCCCCACGTAACTGCCATGTATATGCATAATGTCCATATGTAGTAAATAACACTTAATGAAGGAATGTGCATGCTTGTTTGAAACCATAAAACCTCAGGCATGGTTCATTGCTGCCATAAACAGCTGGATAGCTCAGTGGCTTAGGCATCTGAGCCAGAGGTTGGGAGTTCGATTCCCCACAGTGCCTCCTTGACAGGGGCTGGACTTGATGATCCATAGGGTCCCTTCCAGCTCTGCAGTTCTAAGAGAGAGAGTATTATTAATCATTACCTCCAGTTATATACATTATGAAGGAAATATATGCATTCATCACATACGGCAACATGCTATTTCTATATAAATCCCTGCCTTTACGGAACCTATATGCCCAGAGAGTTCTCTTTCAAATTGACATTTAGTCAGTCAGTCAGTAAAGAAATTCTTCCCTGATGTGATCATGGTGAAATGAAAATATAAAAGACCAAACACCTTTTTCACAGACTGGATTATATAAGTCAGTATTTTGTTCACCTTTCATATTTTGGTTTCACCCTGATTGCATCAAGGACAAATTTACTTACTTACTTACTTACTTACTTACTAACTAACTAACTAACTAACTAACTAACTAACTAACTAACTAACTAACTAACTAACTAACTAACTAACTAACTAACTAACTAGCTTCTTTTGTCTCATTTGTAGGCCACCTTCTCCCAATAAGCACATCCAAATCCTCAACATCATATTTACATTTTCACAGGTAAACATATGTGATATGTGTTGAATACCTTTTCTGAATATATTTCTAATGCATGAAAAAATATATTTAAGGCACATCACACGTTATTGGCATGTATCAAATAAGATGACTACATTTGTTAATTGTCACAATGATATGATTTATGAATGACCTCACTGTGAATAACATGCATTAAATTTTTAGATTGTCAAGTGTAATGTAATGTAAACATGCAAAAATGATGTAGAAGATCTGAATGCGCTTATCATAGCATCCATTCAATGTGTTGCCTCTCTTTCTTTTCTTTGTGTAGCCCTTGAAGAAGGTCATAAACTCTTCAGGCTGAAATGTGCTGGGCAGGTTTTAACATGTAACAAATCAAAATTTTTGTATACATTCTGATGCTTTTGTCTCTCCTTCAAACTTGGTTGTATATATGGGATATCTACGATTCTGGATAATGCTTCCAGTCTTTAATAAATTAAGCTGTACAACTCATGAAACCACATGCCATTATAATTTTTAATTTTATTTATTGCATTTCTACTCCACCTGTTTTTCAAAGAGCTCAAGATTGTATCTACACCTTTCCTTCTGCCCTCTGCTCGCCATAAACCTGTGAGACAGGTTGGGTTGAGCCTGTGACTGGCCTAACACAATTTTGTGAGTCCCAGGGCCAAGTGGGGATTTGAACATGAGTCTCCTAAGTGTTACTTCAGCACTCCAGCCACAACATAACTCCCATGGCTCTGTCTTTAAGGAAAGAAGGAACTCTTTGTTGTTACTGTTTTTTATCACAGGAAACGAACACAGTGACATCTTTGGAAATTGGCTTTTCTTGACCTTCAAGAGGTTGTCAATACCTACTGGAGTTTTAGCTCTTTCTCACATTGTTTTACTATGTCTATTGAAACAGTCACCGAAGGCTCCTTATTACCTCTCTGTGAATGAAACAGCAGAAGGAAGTATAAAAGAGCTAGCAGTAGACTTTTCCTATCCCAGTGCTCACACCAGCATGGCCCTTTTTATCTTAGCCCAGTGGGAGTGCTGCCCACAATCCAGTAGGGGTTCTAGGTCAATTTTATGATTCACTTCAGTTTGTGTAAATAAAATAAAACTGCTGCCTTCCAGGAGTTAGCCCTGACTGCATTTTCTTACTATATTTAAATACCTCCAACTGCTACAAATTAGTTGACAGATCAAATACTTACAGTTCCCTGTTAGCAATGGATGGATTCCTTTCCATTGTAAGCAGTAGCTAGTTTTTGATAACAAGAGGGGATAAACCTGTTTCTTGATTGTACCATTTCAGACTGCAGGTGGAGGTCACATGATCAACTGGTTCCCTGTGAGGAAAGAGTCCTCTGCAGAGAAAATAAGCAGGAGAAGGCAAGGCTGGAAGGGTTCCCATGCTTACAAAGGTAATGGAGGTGCTGTGATTTTCTGTGTATATGTGTTCGCGAAGGCTTTCACGGCTGGGATCTAATGGTTGTTGTGGGTTTTCGGGCTCTTTGGCCATGTTCTGAAGGTTGTTCTTCCTAACATTTCACCAGTCTCTGTGGCCAGCATCTTCAGAGT